TTCTTTTCTCTTCCTCTTCATCCCTTTTAAAGAAATCGCCCTTTATTTCCCCACCTTTATGAATCTGTTCGCGCGTCCCCCCTCCTTGGGGAGAGGGGCGTCGTTCTACTCCCCGCCGTCTTAATCTGAGCTTAAACTAGGAGTCGGCGAGCGATCCTGAAGATGTTCGCGAGGCTGGGTGGGATCGCCATTACGCACCTGCCGCAGGACAGAAGGGACGACAACCTCGCCGCTTAAGTGGACGTGGCGGAGCCAGCCAGACCCGGCTTCGGTCATCCCCACCGCCCGGCCTAAGAGCCGAAGAGCGCCTTGGTTCGTCGGGCGCCCGAAGTCCCTCCTGTTGCGGGAGAGCCCGTGCGCTCTTGGTGCGAATCACCTGGCTAGGGCGCTGCGCCACGGGCGCGCTTTCCCCCCGAGTTGCAGACATACCGAAGGAGAGCCGGGTTCAAGGGGCCTCCGTAAGCCCCAAGCGAGCTTCTGGGCCTTTTTCCCCCCAGGGAGAAAGAAGGTGGGCCTCAGCCCAGAAGCTGGCCCAGGGCTGCTTCCTCGGGAGAGCCCAGAGCAAAGGCCAGGCGCCGCGACGCCGCGGCCTCCCACGCTTCCTTCGCATTGGTGCGCGCCGTCTTAGGCTGAGCGGAGGCGGCTTGCATAGCTGGAGGGTCCCTTAGGATGGGAACCAAGAAAGGCAGAGGGCAAGCAGGGACCCCTGAATGGCTGTTTCGTGGTCGTTTAAAACAATAATAGGAGCTGCCCTCAGCATTAGGATCCAATGCGCCCTTCGCGGTTCCCACTGGAACCGCTCTTGTCCCTAGAGGTCCTCCCTCAATCTGCCTCTAGTAGGGCGGCTGAGAAACAGCTGGTGTCTGTCCAAACGGGCATTATATCCAATATCCACCAGTCCTTCAAAGCGGAGCCATGATTCATTGCCAGCCTTTGCTGAGACCCAGTGAAGTCGCCTTCATTTGGAAAGCAAACAAAACCAACCTGAATTAGGTTGCTTGGGCCTTCTTTGCAACCTCAGGGATGCGGTTCTCCAAGGACAGTCGTGATTATGAAGTCGCCAGTCCTCAGGGATGTCGCAACTAGGAAGAACAAATTTGAGAAAGCTCCATTTTAGTCTCCTTCCTTCCTTCTTTCCTTCCTTCCCCAAGATCATGCGAGGATGTCCTTTTTTATTTATTTATTGTTATTGCTGGGCAGGGCAGGACATTTCCTAGATCTAAAGCATAAAATTGATGCAGATTAAAATGGGGAGAAGGAAATGAAGAGCCATTCGATTGTCATGTCCCCCCACCCCCCACAAAGTACATTAACAACACACTCAGAAATGGGCTACTTTTTTCTGGTGTGAAAGAATTTATAACTCAACTCTGACAAACCAGAATTTGAGTTCGGTGTAATCCTGAATTCTAACTAGGAAATGGGATTTCCTCCCCTTCCTTTTTCTTAGCATTAAAAAATATCCTTTTAAAATAAATAGTTCATTTCAGTTCTTGGACTTCCATAGTTTTTCCACATATGCTACCTTCCTCAACTCATCTCCTTTTCTGTGTCCCCCTCCCATCGCCACACACAACAACAACAACAACACACGCACGCACACAATACATGGCCCTGTAAGCTTTGTAGGGCAGTGTTTTTGTTGTGATCGCAACAAAAGTGTGCAAAGCGATAACACATTCTCAAATGTACACAGTGACAGTCCCAATTCCATATTGTCTCTACAATCAATCTAAATGTAGGGTGCCCGGAGATTGTTGTTGTTGTTTTTTTTTAATCGATTTAATCGTTTGTTTTTTGTTTTGTTGTTGTTTTAAATCTTCTCCTCTGCCTTTTTGACTTTCGGGCTGCTTCTAATCTCGGCCCCTCTTCTTTTCTCCCTGGCCTTTCTTTTCCCACTTCACGCTTGTCACTAAAATTTAGGGCCGTCTTTGTGCCCAGAGAGGGTTAAAACATGGTCACTTCAATCGGCGCGACATAATATGACTTTGCAAGTGGCCTGCCAGCAGACAAAAGACGACATTTCTGGTTGTACATTAGCTTTTGTCTAACATTCAGGAGGGTTCTCCCTCACCCCCCACCCACTCAAAGACACCCCCCCCAAAAGGTTTGGGAGGGGTGGGCAGTTAGAGAGAAACTATGTGCATTTCATAGCAGCTACTCCAAAATCCTCTGCTATGGAAACCGGGGAATGGGTGAGTGTAATTGGTAAGGAGTCGATGCAGGGTATAAATATTGCATCTTTCTGAAAATCCTAGCTGAATAGATGGAGCCACGGGTGCCTTTCCCCCGCTCCCTTTCTCTCTTGCAAATACCGTCTGTCCAAAGGGGGCTTCTGTCTTCAACATGTCCATTTAGGAAAGCTTATGCCATGGTTGAAAGATGGGCCTTTAAAAAGACATTTAATCCAGAGCATAGCCAAACTCTAAGGCTAAGGGTTGAGGATCTACCCTTGTTCGAATTTAGAAGAGGCACACGTGCCATTTGCAATATCTCTGAATCAACCAAGCGAATTGAGACTCAATTGACAATATAAATTTTTTTTTGTAAGCTGTCCAGAGTCACTCAAAGTG